GCCCCGCCCCGCCCCGCCCAGACTCCGGCATCCACCAGCTGATCACGCACTTCCTCAACACACACGCCGCGTCGGAGCCCTTCCTCATCGCCGCGCGCCGCCAGCTGTCGCAGATGCACCCGGTGCGCTCCGTCTATGCCTCCACCACAGCCGCTTGGATGCTTGGGTCCGCCACTTGCCAAAATTACGATCCCAGCTCTTGCTGCTGTCGTGATTTTGTTGGTTGTGAGCCGGGCTTGCAACCCAGCTTTCTGGCATTGCATGTCACCTGCTCCTTGTCATGTTACCATTTCAACACACATGCCTGGCCATGCCCTCGCCCACCACACACGCCATGCTTGCTAGCTGCTGAGCAACAGTGTGACCCCGCGGGAGGCCAGTCCTCTTTTTCAAAACCTGCCCCTCCCCCATCTGCTGTTGGTCTATAACCCATTACCCTGACGTACACTGCCGCGCAGATCCACCGGCTGGTGGTGCCCCACTACAGGCATACCCTCACCACCAACTCTCTGGGGAGGGGGCTGCTCATCTCATCAAATGGCGTCTTTGAAACAGCTTTCAGCCCGGGCAAGTGAGCACCCGCTGCAGGACGGAGGGGGTGGTGGCGGCCAGCAGTCGCACAAGAGGGAAGGGAGGTACGGCAGGCAGTTAGCGCTAGCGAATTGCTGCGGATATGCGTGCTTTCCGCACATACAATCTTGCCGACACTGCTCCAACTCCGATCGCCCGCTACCTGCTCCCTTTAGTCCCCCTGGAAACCTTGCACATTTCTCTTGCTGCTATGTCAATGCAGGTTCTCCCTAGAGATATCATCCAAGCTGTACGCGGACTGGCGCTTCGACAAGCAGGCCCTACCAGAGAACCTCCGTAGCAGGTGGGGATGGTGCCCGCACCCCCGACTCCAAGCAACCTTACCTTGCCTCCGAGTCCTAGCTGCCTGCATCGCATATGTCTTGCAGTTTGCATCTCACGCTCAAGCGCGCTTGCCTTGTGAAATGCAGCTGCCCCTGCTTGCACACCTGGCTGTGCAGCTGTGTCCGCTGCCAGCGGCATGACATTTCTGCCAGTGCCTCAGGCAGCGTAAGTCCCCAGATACTGCGTTATATATCTCGTGATGTCCTGATAATTTGAGGTGGACCTCGCTCACCGATCTTTGCACCACGCACCCAGGAACCTGCTGGACAGCAAGGGGGAGCTGGTGGTTGGCAACTACCCCTACGGCGAGGACGGCCTCCTGCTGTGGGAGGCGACCAAGAAGTTCCACGAGAAGTACGTGAGCCTGTACTACACGAGTGACGCCGATGTGGCGGGTGACGCAGAGCTTCAGGTGTGTGTGTGTGTGTGTGAGTGTGTGAGTGTGTGTGTGTGTGTGTGTG